CAGGGTTGGCCGGTCCACGCTGTGGGGTGCTGGGAAGGACGGGGTCGGCTTCCTCCGAGTGTCCCCTCCAGGGTGATGGGGGTGAGAGAGGATCCCCAGGGGACAAGGGCGCGCGAGGGCTGCCTGGGCGCAGGGTGAGTACGGCGCAGCCCCCTCCCCGATCCCCCGCGGCTGTGCCCACCCGCTCAACTCCCCAGGGTTTTCCAGGGCCACCCCGGGAGCAGAGGAGAAGCAGGCGGCCTCGGCAGCGTGGGACCTCCAGGAGAGATGGTGACTCCCTGCAAATTCCCTTTTTCCTGCCATATTTCTGCCTGCAACCAGCCCGGGTGCTCAGGGATGTGTTCCTTCTTCATAGTTCCTCTTAATTTCTCTCCTCTCCTGCTGCTCCAGGGCCCAAAGGGCTCGCCAGGCATTCTCCCCTCCACGGTACGGGATGCTGGTGTGGGGCCGGCTGGGGATGGGGACCTGGCTTTGAGGGGTGTCCTCGGGGGACAGTGAGGAGCTCGGTGGCCGCCTGGCCCCAGCAAGCCTTGCTGGGTTTGCTGGGAAGAGCTGGGCGGGAGAGCTGGGACTGACACCGCTTCGTGCATCTCTCCAGCCTTGCGAGCTCAAGGCTTTCATCCGCCGGAGCTGCGGTGAGAGCCTGGGACAGCGGCAGGGATGGCAGGGAGGGGACGGGGACCAGCTCGGTGTGGGGACCGTGGCGGAGGGGACTGAGGGATGGCTGGGTGGCGGGGGCACAGCTGATGGATGCATGCCCGGAGGATGACTGGAGGGAGACAGCGGTGGATGGGTGGGCACGGGTACCATGAGCACGGGATGTCACGGGGAGGCTTTTCCGGCAGTCCCTGAGATGCTGCCATCCCCTCACAGTCACCACCTCCCCCTCCTGCCCGCTGTTCCCCACCGAGCTGGTTCTGGTGCTGGAAACCTCGTCCACAGTGCCACCAGCCCTCTTCTCCCGCATGAAGGAGCTGCTGGCCCTGCTGCTGCGGGACCTGCAGGTCTCCCCGCTGGGCTGCCCGGCGGGGGCCCGGGTGGCCATGCTGGCCTACGCGGCCACCCCCACCTACCTGCTGCGTGCCGGGGAGGTGGGGAGCGGGGCCGTGCTGCTGGGGCGCCTCCGCCGCCTCTCGCCCACCCGCTCCTCCC